TTGATTGTGATTCAAGTCAAAAACATTATGTGATATCTCAATACTCATGTACAATTTACCTCATTGTTTGCTTGAATGATTTTTTTCACTTGTTGTGAAGAATCCAAACTCACTGTTTACTACACTCATTTGCTTGTTTTTGATTTTATACAACTCGCGAATGAAGATTGTTTGCGCTCACCAGCCATGACATAATCTTCAACCTTTCCTTGTCATCGTACTCCATCAGAACCATGTAACTTTCAATAACACAATATTTTAATTAATGTACATTTTCTGAGTTCTGTTGGCTTATTTTAACTGTAATGCAATACCTTTCACACTTATTCTATTTTTGACATGTATTTGACAGAAAGATACCAGGTTAATATGGCTTAAAAGGGGTAAAATGAATCATCATTCACATGGCTCAAAGCCAATCCATGTATTTCGCTTATAGAAAAAATTATTTTGTTTTGTTTTTACCATAAGAAGGCAATTATTATTCATGCATCACTGCCATCTTTGTAACAGATTTGCCAAATTTTTTTAGATGCTTCCTCTTTACCCTCCTGATTGAGATACATACAGACTAAATGGAACCCTAAAATTGAAAGTACTGTAAATATGCTTAAGAATACTTGAATCTCAATGGATTGGTTATTTAAGTCATAAATGTGACTTCTTGTTCCTTAAAAGCTATGAGAATTACAGCTGTGAAATGGAAAACAAACTTTCTGAATGAAGTGAAGCTTTGTGGCATGTGATCAAATCCACCCCCTGTTGTAAGTCATTTGCAAGGTTTGATATATCTGCAAAGTATTGTTTAACTTTTTATTTCAAAAATTAAAAACATATGGAAAAAGGAAAATTTGCCAATATTGGATTTGTGATTGTGGAAAGCCATTTGCAAATCAAAGAGAACCCAAAGGCCTCTAGAAGATGTGATGGGCAGTCTCTCTCCTTTCATCTCTACCAAAATGCTGGTTGTCTGTTTACATGTAGATTACCCTTGGACAAAAGGTGTGACGTAAAGAATGCAATCTATTATGAAACAAGGTATTGTTGTGGAGAAGTGCCTGCTCCTGTCTGCTAACCCAATATCCTAGATGTCCCATGCACTATCAATAGTTTTGCAGGGTTTGACTTTAAGTGTGTTCATCATGATCCTTTTGGCATTGGGTTTCAAAAGAATTTCATTTTTATCCTGACTACATTTCATCATTAAGTGATTAAATGCCTCTTCCAGATGACATGGGATCTTCCATGTTTATTTATTTATTTATTTAATCATTATTTATACACAGTTAAAAAAAAAGAATTCATCAGGTACAAAAATTCCAATACAATGACTAATATCCTAAGAACTAAAGATCATAATCCTAGCATTATATGAACTAATTAACACCATTAATATGCCACTTAAAAACCTGATTTCCATGAATGCTGTGTCTAAAAATTATGATAGAGAAGGTGTTTAAATTGGTTTAATGAACCAGACTCTCTAATGTTACAGGGTAAGCTATTCCAATGGGTTGAGCCGCTATAACTAAAACTATTTTTCATGTAGTTAGTTCTTGGAAATTGGACAACAAGTTTGTTTACTGAGCCCCACATAGAATAGTTTGATTCGTTTCACTTTATAAATTTAGACGTGAGATATTGCAAACCATTAAGGTGTTCTGAATTTGACATTGAGATTTCAAGTCTTTTCAGCTGAGTTTGTGAGACAAGGAATCAACATCTACATCATAGTTTGATGAAGTTATTATATGTGCAGCACGGTTTTGTAGTTTTTGTAGCTTGTTAGATAATGTTTTGCTACAATTACCCTAGACTAGGCTACAGTAATCAAAGTGAGATTGAAGGAGTGAGTTCTAGATATTGAGTAGGGTGGATTGGGGCACAAATGGCTTAACTCACTTTATAGCTCCAATAGCAGTAGCCATCCTTTTACACTGTTTATCAATGTGGGAATGCCACATTAAATTTTCATCTTTTTATATTCCAAGGGATTTCACAGAGGAAACTTGTTCAATGGGAACATTATCTATGGAAAGTTTGAGTGTATCAGATAGAGTACTTGATCTATGCTTAGCACAGATCAACATAAATTCAGTTTTTGTAGCATTCAAGGTAAGTCTGTTAGACACAAGCCATTTGCTTAGCTTTTCAAGGTTGTGAGATAGACTAGACTGGATCAAATGTAAATCAGAGCCAGCATATGTGATGTGGGTGTCATCAGCATACATTCTAAGTACACTGAATGATGGCAAATGGTTAATATAAATTAGAAATAAAAGAGGGCCAAGGATCATTCCCTGTGGCACCACATTTAAGATTGGTGAAGTCAGAGAGACAATCGTTAACTGAGCACTGTTGTGAGTGATGTGTCAAATATGATTTAAACCAATAAAAAGTTTTTCTTGAATACCACATTGATTCATTTTAGTGAGTAATATCTCATGATCAACAGTGTTGAATCCCTCTTTTAAGTCGAGAAACACCACAGCATTGATGTAGCCATGATTCAGTGGTTTCAATTAAGAAGAGCAGTAATAGTTGGGTGTAAAGACCTGAAACCAAATTGATGTTTAGAGATGATTTCTTCACTATTTATGAGGTTCATATAACTGATCATACACAATCCTTTCAAACACTTTGGTGACTACAGAAATGACTGAGATAGGTCAGTAGTTGTTTTTATGTTGGTATCATTTAGCTCAGTCGAGTGCTTAAATTTGGCATACATCATAAGGTTTCTACTATTTTACTGCTGATGTCATTGATGACATTAGGAGGAGGGAGGTTTTTTTTTCAGCTTTTTGCTTCTTCAGTAGGTTTCTTTATTTCCTCATCCTATAGCCATTTCCTGTCACAGATTCCAAGTTCAAGTGACTCTAAATATAGAGAAAAAATGTGTATTTCTGGCCAACTTAAATGTTAATTGAAATATTTTAGGTGTTAAACAACTGCCCAGTTTCACTTACTTTTGGGACATGATGCATTCTCGAAGCCTTGTAGTGCTTAACACTTTGAATATTTCAGCCCATAGAGATGACCCCCAGCTTGATGTTGTCACAGTTAACTCTGAAAGATTCTAGTCAGTTAAGATGTCTATTATGGACTCAAGAAAAAAACCAATAGCTCTATTCAATTTTAAAAATCTTAGAGGAGGCAGAAATAACTGGTTCTGCTATGTAACTCTCTTGAGGCTCCTGAACCCTACAGATTTTTGGGGATGTTTCAGAGCTAGCACCTCTAAGTCTCGAGTATAGACCATTATAAATCTAAACAAAAGTACATAGAATTCTATAATAGTTTCTGGTTTCTTTTATAACATAAACTCCTTGCAAGATTTTGTTATAATAATTATAGTTAGCTAGATGACAAGCTACATCTGGACCCACTAAAATTTTTGTATTGTTAAGTAACCATTGATCAATTCACATATACTTACTAAGGATATCTTTATTACAACTTCAGTTGGAAGCTCTTCAAATTGGAACCTCCTAAAAACTATACAAAGTTAAATAGGGCCTAAAATCATCAAGTGTGAACATGGAAATATTTTAAGACGCACAAGTAGTATTATCCACCTTTAGAATTATTGTTGGAACTTTTCAGACAAGTCACTCCATTCTTAAGGAAAATCAAATTTTTTCTTCTGTCTTTAAATTAGATTTTCCTCCTTTCGCCAATACTCTCTCAGGTACTCTGGCTAGTGAGCTATTTTTTGCATTTCTTACTCAAACCTCTAGTCTGCAACAAGAATATTACTTCCAGTACAAAGATGAATCACGTAGTATTTTTGGTGTTGCCTCTCCACTTTCTGCCTCTGCAATTCCTTTCCCATCATCTCCTGTAGTTTCTTAATTAACATCAGCATCTCTTGATGGTAAGGAAGACAGTTTCTCTGCTAATGTCAAACAAGCTCAAATCTTCTGCCAATTATTACTAGGAACTGCTTAGTGTGAATTTAAGCCGCCTTTTTGCTCTCAAGTATTTCTCACCCAATATTCTGGGTACTGCCTGTTTTGCATTTTCACCAAAACTAAGACTGGACCATGTTGTATAAACATTTCATCTTCCTGTTTGCCTCATATCAGCTATGGCTGATTTCACTTTTAATTAGTTTTAAGGACCAACCTAAAAAATCTTGCCATAAGTTTTGGGAACACTTATTCACAATTGTATTGAAGTATAACTCTCCTCTTTAGGGGGGTAAAGTGTGTTTGTAGAGCTCTGATGAAATGACTCTGCCTCATTGTAAATGTAATGCCTGCGACAGGTTGAGGATATTTTTAATTTGCTGAGTGATAACCTCTCTGTTGGGAAGTAGCAAAATGTTTCAGCACAAGTTGTTAACAGTGGTCTCCGTACAGTCTATTCTTAATGCAGGAAATAAGTTAATTTCTTTGCATTTGACTTGGGCTTAAGAAGGGTTTATTTTTGGGTATGATTCTTCAAAATGCAGAAGAAAAGTCAGAAACTCTCCCTTCTGCAAACTCCCCTTTGCAGAACAATCATGATGAGCAATCAAGTTATGTAATGTTTGATAAAAGAACAATCAATACAAGGAGTTTAGTAAGTTCTCCTTTTAACTTTAGGTAATGGCAAGCAGCATCCAGCATGCCACTGGTGTATTCTTTTTATCCCAAAGAATTCATGGTTTCTCTTTCATCAAAATTTCAATTTTCTGGGTTGGGGATGCTTTCGTAGATCCTCTTTCAGGCTAAGTTCCAAGTGAGGTGTGGCTTGATTGGCTCTGTTCCTATTTGTTTGTGCAGCAGCAAAAGTTTTATCAAGAAAATTGGGTGTATAGCTTTAAAGCCGGGGTCCTTAGTTTAATGAGTGACTTCCTGAATTATCCCTCAATTCCCTAGGTTGTTTGTTGGAGACTTGTTGCTGGATACTTTTGATTATTTTATTGTAACTGGGTAAATTTTAAGACTCAGTCCAAGTAAGATTTGCTACGCCATATGAGGAATGATATAATTTCTTTTACCTTTCAGAGGCATTACTTATGAACCTCTCTTTAGGAAGAAAATATTTCATTGAAGGATCCAATGCCACCATAACCTGTAAAGCTTCTGGGAAACCACCACCATATGTATCGTGGATTAGAAATGGAGTACTGGAAAGTTCAGGGAAGAAAGCTGCATCTTTGGAGTTCAATAATATAAACAGAACAGATGCAGGACAATATACATGTCAAGCCAATAACTCAATGGAAGTCACTTCCGTTAACACAACAATTGTAGTTCACTGTAAGTATTATTTTAATTTTCTACATCTGAATTTAATTTATTTACAGTGCGACTCCTGTTATTAGGGTCAGTTACACAAAACTGACAAATATGTCTAAAAGTGTAAGAAAAATGAATTCCATGTCAAATCCTTTTCAGCTTTGTATGCATTGGTCCTAAGTATTGGTTGGGACACTTGAATTTCAGTGGAATTCTTACTCACATTATTTTGCTCAGGAGGACATGAAAATGTTTTTACCAAGTTGTTGCTTCAGTTGGATTGTGTTAAACTCAGAAAATGGCTTAAGGCCATTTCTGAGTCATTGTGACAACCCAAAATTCACTCCATTTGACTAGTGCACAAGGTTAGCGCAAAGGGCCCTGGTTGAAGCCTGATGGAAATCTGAGAACTGGCCAAAATTCCAAGTGTCAGCTGAGAAATTGCACATTTCAGTGTTTTACTGATGTAGCTGAGATAAGAAGATAAAAGCAAAAATGGGCTTAAACTAAAACCACATGCTTAAGATTTGTGCACATATTTGCATGTGTGGCATTCAAAGAGATATACTATTTAGGGGCAAGAATCCATTTTATAATTCATAATTTGAAGGCCTTGCCACCTTATACTGAATACTTGAAGTACAAAAAGTGTATGAATGCAAAAGTGATGGACTCTACTACTGAGTGATTACAACCTTTACTTTTTTCCATTTAAAGACTGGGAAAGGAAAGACAAAATTTTTATCTCAATCATACTCAGGATGTGCAAATTGAGGTCATGTGACCTACCATATGACCCTTGAGGAGTCGAAATGGCCTTCTAAAACTGTTATAAAAATATCTATACATCTTCTATGGCATAAATTTATGAAATATCCCTTTGTATTCTGCTAATATCTATGAAAGGGTTGCACAGTCCACAGTTTCAGCCAAACGTTTGCTTATTAAGCTTAAAGCAATGAGATAAATATCATTTTTGCCCAATTTACGATTTGACATGAAAAAGAGGGGCAGTCAGGTTACCACTGTTTGTGGCCATTTTTTATGTTTTGTGAAAAAAACTTCTGACTATAACATTAGTTCTTAATGGCAGGAAGCCAGGTGTGCTCAACTTCTACAAATTATGTCACATTACCAAGCATGTGACCTCCAAGGGGCCTAAATCTGCCCTCTTGCCTTAAAGTGAAATCATACTCATGTCATCCTTCCAAAACTTGTATTTACACTACCTCTTACCTCGGAGCGATACATACTGCAACTAAAAACACAATATCATAACTTATTTTGGTCTGTTGAGCTTTAAAGTAACTTATCTCCATTGTTAATCGACAGAAAGCTATCCTCTTAAGTATGGATGCCTCATATGTCAACTATTTAACAGTTCCTCTTCAAAGGTACTCTCTTCACAGCTTTCTTCTGAGTCACTGAGAAGGTTTACTTGTGCTAGTGCTTTTGTGATTGGCTGTGGTACAAGAAGCTCCCTGTTCTTCATCCATCCATGACCCTCCATTTATTTAAGATCCTGCATAGCTTCAAGGGCATGACTCCGCATGAATGCTCTGTAGTTTGCTTCAGATGTTGAAGTAGACAATCAGTTGTTGGTGGAAGCATTTCATTTTTTTTGCTTATTCTGGCAGAACATGTGATAACATAATTCATCTGCAATGCTTGTCTTTTTGCAGTCATGTAAAAGCTGCAAACAAAGGTTTTGCTTTTACCAAAGCTGCAGAAAGCAACCAACAGGAAATTGAATAGGTTTACCAAGTGTCAAAAACATAGCATTCATGTTTAAGAATAAACATATCAAATGCAACAAATGTTGATTGCTACAGCTCTAAATTGCTGGTAATGAACTAGAAACCAATGGAGGGAATAAAACATGCTGAACTAAATAATTAAAGCCATACCTTTTTTTTTTGGATTTGCAAGATACTTTCCCCATTGTCTTGGTACTGGAGTGGCAAGACCTCTGATTTGCATTTTAAGGCCAATGAATGTTCCCCTTTGCTGACGCCCTCCTTTTGTGAAGTTGCTCAGTATTGGTAAAAGACCATGAGGACTTGCAGACAGTTGCTAGAAAAAAGGGGGGAACTGAAGATGTTGAAATATTTTTGTAAGAATTCACCAAAGGTATCTGCTCCAGAAGATTTTGTCGACTGTAGAACTGCCATGCCATTGATAACAACAACCTGTGGATTTGTCAATGCTGTAAGTTGCTGAACTACATGAATGTCTTTCTAGAGAAGAGAGCATAGTGTGCTCTTAACATCTTTTCTAAGACTTCCATTAGTGAGTGAATATGGGATTGAAGACAGGTCAAAGCTCAGCACATCTTTCAGGCAGATTGGATGAGATGAGGAGCTTGACAAACAAGTCCTTGTTGGCATTAACAGTAATTAGCTTATTGCTGGATTTGACTCCAACCTTATTTGCACTGCTGAACCTAGGATCTTGATGTTTGGAATTGGCTCCCCAGAAACCCTAGCAGGGAAAGAAAATATAAAGCCGTGTGGTATATGAAGCTTAAATCGCTAAGTGGAAAACTGTAGGTTTGAGTCAATGAATTTATATCACCGGATGTAAATTGACAACTTCTGCTTAAATAAATTCTTCATTTCTTCAGTTTGTAAGCCATATGATAAAGCCAATGGGATCATTCAACTTTCTTCACTGAGCCTGTGGAAAATAGTTGCTTTTATTAGTATTATAGCTAGAGTGCTTTCAAATTATGTTTTGTAAATTAAAAATTGTACATTCTGCTACAATAGTTTGGATCACTTGTATTCTGATAAGCAGCCATTTTTTATTTATATATTTATATTTGAAATATTGTGTAGGAGAAACATTGCCTCTGTTTAAAATTTACTCTCTGAGAGTTTCGTAATTTTTCTCTTGATGATCGTTTGTTAACATCTTGCTGCAATTCACACGGCTGGAACTTGATACTCACCATTTGCGGAGGTCATCTTGGTAGCTGGAATTACAAATGAGGGAGGTCAGCTCTGTTTCGATCTAATGGCGTACTATTAATTGAGTGGTAAGTTCTGATAATTGATTGTAATCCTAATGTTTTGAATTAAAGACTGTAGCTGTTGATTGGCTGCTAACAAAATTGACTGTAGTTTCAATCTTTTATTTTATTGGGAACTTATAGAAATTTTGAAATTGTAACCTTGAGCTTTCAAATAGATACGTTGTATAAGATCATTTTGACCAAATTTAATTTTGCACCCAAAAGAACATTGCACCAAAAAGTCTAACTGCTTAAGCAAGTTACAGCTAAGTTTGTTTTACAGTGCAAGCACTTGAGGGACTTTAACGCAAAACCTAACGGTGATGACAACATGGACATCGCAAAAAAAAAGCTGTAATGGGCAGAATAACAGTTCAGCACATGCCTTTTAAAACTTTGTACATTTCTCATCTGTCTTCTGACAAACAACAGTGTGAAATCAGCAAAATTTGTGTTGTCTGTGAATGAAAAGCCCAACGGCAAATAATCTGCTTCCATCTGGAACCCAATGTGGCTCACATATATGTTATGCTGAATTTAAAGTGAGACATCATTAGAAACTGAACACATTCAGCCATTCATGTGTGAAATTCCAACTAAAAATCTAAATTCCTTTAATTTTTAATTGACATCTACCTCAGCATTGCCAACTGCCAAAGGTCCATAGTACTGATTAACTGTCTGCAAACTTTTGAAATAGAAAGTCAGACTGCCTTGGTACATTTCAAACTCATGAAGTTAACCTGTGGGTAATTGGGAAGAACAGCTCCCTGTCGGCCAACAGTCTGCTGACTGTAGGCTGACACTAAACCGACAGGCCACCAACAGGTTAGCGACAGGCGGTGAAATAACTTTACTAGTGTATTTTTGCACTTAAAAATCGATGTAAAACTTACTATAAATGCTTAAAATTTTTCAAAATGCCACTAAAACTTAAATGTACATGAACATTCCCTGTGCATTAAACGAAAGTGTGTTAATATTCTCCATCAAAAAGTGCAGTTAAGAATCACCCTATAATGCCATGCGATCGTTACCGACAGATCACCAACAGTCAACCGACAGTCGGTCAACTGTTGGCCAACAGATGTCCTGCAGGAAGTTATCTTTTCAGGAAAATCTAAATAAATCTGTCAGTCAACTGTTGGTAAGGTGTTGGTCGACAGTTGACCAACTGTCGGCCAACAGTTGGCTGACAGATTGCCGACAGTCGGCCGACAGATTACCAACAGTCAGCCAACAGATAACCAACAGTCAACCAACTGTCGGTGAGGGAAGCTGTTCTTCATAATTACCAACCTGTGTACCTCACGAGATTGTTTTTGATGAGCTGTCACAATACAGATTGATGATTGGACAGTTTTTACTCCTTGGGTATCATTAGCCGACTTAACAAGTTAAAATGTAGCTGATTGGTCAATTTTTTACCAATCAGTTCATTCCAGATTCTCTTTTTGTGTTTTTAGCCTGTGTTGAAAGGACATAGCTTGTTTTCTTGATGCTTTTAATAAACTTCCCAATCATAAATGGCAGGAGGCAGACCAGTTGCCTACAGACAAAGTGCAGCTAAGGAGTTGAACACGGGACAACCGAGAAGATTGGCGGATGACTTGCTGCAATTTTCCTTTCCAAAAGCATTATATTTCTTGCCCAGGGCACTCCATTGATTGATACGAGATTAACCCACACACATGATTAATACTTCCTTATTGCATTATCATACCCCCTCTAGACTTTTACAAGGGATTATGATTAATAATCAGGGGAAATGTGTGAGTCCTGAAATAAACAGAGATTAAGATTTTGATTTTGATTTACATTTTTAGACAAACCTGAAGGTGCAAGGCTCACTACCAATGCTCCACAAAATACCGTCATTAAAGGAGATACAGTTACATTCAAGTGTACAGTTATGGCTGCTGTGCCACAAGTGTCAATTTACAAGTTCTACTTCAATGGCTACCTCTTCAGTAATAACAGCAACAGTGAGTATACTCTCAATAACGTCAACCGATCTCAGCACCATGGCGAGTACAAATGTGTCCCACATAATGCTGTTGGAGATGGAGTAGAAGCCACTGTGAGACTTAACATAAATGGTGGGTAGAAATGTCTTTGAGCATTTTTAAGTACTTTGGACACGTAATCCAAAAAACATTTTTTACCTATTTACATTGCATCAATGAAACTTCCAACACTCTAAATTATTACATCCCTGACCAGAGAAGAAAAGAGACCCTAGTAACAAGGTTGACATGGTTGTGCCTGCCCCCCCCCCCCTCCCTCCCTTTACAGGCTTTTCCTGGGAGGAATGGGAATGAGTGCAGAGTGTGAGGTGGGTTAGGGGGAGGAGAAAAAAAGTCCACCTGAAGAGGTGACTCCCTCAGCTTTCCACACAATGCTCCTCCCCAAGGTACTTTGGAAAAGGGGTGGTGAAGGATGCCTGTCTCAGAAAATTTAGCCAGGGCCTAATAGTAAATGGGTGCCTAATAGCTAAAGTTGTGCCTGATAATAATGAACTGGTACTTAATAATGATGAACAGATGCCTAATAATGATGGGCTAATAACAAAATGGCAGGTGCCTAATAATAAAAACCAATAACTTATTATGATGAACTTGTGTCTAATAATAACGAAACAAGCCTAATAATGGTTCACAAGTGCATCATAGAAACAAAACAATGATTTGGCAGGAATGGCACCCCGTGGTGCTTGCCAGGCTGAAGCAATTATCCTGTGTCCACGAAAAACTGTAAACTTATGCTTTTCATCAGAATATTTGCTTTTCATTGGAATATTTTAAAACTGGTGCAAATTATGATTAGCTGATAAAGTGAAAGTTTGTTTCCTTTTTTTTTTTTTTTTTTTTTTTTCAATATTTTTTTAGTGTATGAAGAGGATGATTTTGAACCAAATCGCACTCTAATGTTATGGTTTGAAAACTCTTTTGTTCTTCTCCTCTTTTCAAGTTCCTGTCCAGTTCACAGAAGTGCCACAGAATATAACAGTTAAAACTTCAGCTCCTCTGTTTTTGAGCTGTGATGCCTCTGGTTTTCCTGACCCTAAGATAAGATGGGAAAAATCTGGGATTAAGTTATCAGACACCAAACAGCTGAACATCTCTAGTAGTAACAGGAACGATGCAGGAGAATATGTCTGCATCGCAAGCAATGGAGTGAGACAGGAAAAGACAGTAAGAGCTTATGTCACTGTGCAATGTAAGTCTTTTTTTCAATATGTCATAAAAAGCAGTCACAGCTGTTGAATAAATGATACAGTCAGACTTATATTAAGCAGCACCATATTAAGTGGTCACCCTGTATTTAGTGGTCAGTCGTCAGAGTCCCAAATTTTTTTCTCCTTAATTGTTGTAATTTTCACCTCTTTATAGTGGTCACCTCTAATAAGTGGTTGTGGTCACCTTTGAGTGAGTGACAACAGCCTGTTTGTGTTGTCTTACACCTGTAATGAACGGTCATATAAAGCGGAACAACTCGATTAAAACTAAGGATGATTTTTTTGTGTAAATTCAATCCATGTTTAAAACAGGTTTCATTATTGTACAAAATAACCAACTGTCCAACTATGGCAAGATTTTTTAACTTGATCTGTGCATTATTTGTACTCACTTAGGTGCAGTTGGATAATAAATATATGTTAATCATAGGCCGGGAGGTCAGTATTGGGGAAAACTGTGCCCAAAGTCTTTAGTACTGCCAAAGGCAGTACACAAGACAGACACAAGACACACAATTCAGACCAACCTAGACTGGTTAAGAACATTTTTAATTTTTTCCTTGAAGTTAGCAAAACACTTGCCAAAAGAAAATGAATTGATTTAGGGCTGTAATTATGGCAAGATCCTCCATAAACTGAACAAACCTTGAGCGAGTAAATTGTAGTTAAAATGGAGGTAATGCAAATTAAAAGAGACGTAAAACATTTTTATTTGCATTATGATGTAGGTGATTTATAAGGCTTCCAAACAAACTTTGAAACATTATTTTTACAAGTATCTGTCACTATCTGACACCTGTCAATTAGAGAGCACTTGGAAAAAAAGTGCATGTACACTTTCGAAAAAAAGTTCATTAACTCTTACAACAATTTTTTCTTCAAAAACAGTCAATGTTCTTAGGTAAAGTATTATTCACCTCCATTAACAACTAATGTACAAAGATTTACCTCTGTTCAGTCAGTAAATGACAACAAAAGTCATTGCAAGTAAATTCAAATGTAAATTTTGAAGTTGTGAGAGTTTGCTCGTTTGTTTGCTGCAATGGGCGTGTGTAAATCTGGTCTTTCTTCCACCCAGAAACTAAATTCAACTGAGACACTTTTACTAGACACGACAAGAGTCAATACGACCTTTTCTCAGCGAGTTTCTTTCAATTTGGTTTCTGCTCTGCAATTTACAGTACAAATGTCCAAATTAAACGGACTTGGAAAGACTCATTGAAAGCGTATTTGTAGCAGAGCTGAAAACTTTACTCACCCATTCACAACGAACAAGAGAGAATTCACATAATACATAGATTTAGCCAAGCCTAAAAGCAGAGCTTCAGTAAGTTTATTTTCTAGCCCTTCACTTTATTAAAGTCCTCTGCAGTCGTTGTCAAAGAGATTATTGAAGGGGACCAGCTGGGGTGGGGTATAGGGGAAAATTGGGGTCTGAATTGAGGGATGGTGTTTTCACAACTTAACAAAGTGACCAGCATATGTGCTAGTCAGCGGTATTTTCAAGCAGATGAAGACCTCTGTTGATATTCCTGATGTTTTGTACAGATTTTCGAGGATAGGGAAAGTTTCCTTCTTCAGATGTAGTGTATGATGTTAGTATCAGTTGAAATGATATTCTATTGAAATGAATTAAAATATGAGTTTGCGAAAACGAGCCAAAATTAAAGAAACGACCATAAACGACTTCGAGTTAAGATATCAGCATTCAATTGTAGGGTATTCACCTGAGAACAGTGAGTCGGTGAAACAGTACTCCGGAAGTGTATGGGCTTCTCTTATATCTTCTCTTGGTGTCGCTTGGTATGACTGTTCGCTCTGCCAATTTTTCTCCAATGTGTCAACCTTCTCTAGAAAGCATTCAACACATAGATGTTTAGTAAATATATCAAGTACACCAAAGGTACCATTGGTTTTTTACCCAAGAGTCCATTTTCACTTTGTAAAAGCTCTTCCAAATTCGAAACATTCGCCATCTTGAATGACGCCATCTTTCCTGTGACGTCACGGGTGGAACCTTCAAAGTTTCGTTTTGTGATCGCGTGAGACACGAAGGAGTCTTTTCCACAGCCGTTGTTTGCTGGTCTCATCATGATTTTTTTACTTACAGTTTGCTTCAATATATTCAATTTTTTCATAATGGTAAAACGTTGTGTCGTCCAGTTTTGTACTGATTCAAACAAAACTGGGCGTACAATGCAAATATTTCCAAATGACGCAAATTTGAAGCGACAATTTGTGAAATTTGTTCTAGTGAAAATAGCCGATTTCGTGGAATGTTCGTGGAGCCGTTCGAACATTCTGTTGTTTGTAGCAGTCATTTTTCTTCCTGTTGCTGTACCGACGATTCAGACCCTACCAGAAGCAAATTATTCAGAAGTATGAAAACGACCCCTACAGTCCGTACAGTTGAGCTCTTCAAAAGTTAGAGGTCAACAGAGAAAGTACAAAATCGATTTACATGAAAACGTTTCGTTAATTAAACAACAATAGCTTTATTGGTTCTCTAAAAACATCTTTTTTCTCATCTAATGAATGATTATGGGGAAGCCAGTTGTTCGGGAGTCAGCGCTGAGCCCATAAAAGACAATAACCTGTCTGAACCTTTGCATGAATTCGAAACACGTGTCAAAGAAAGAGAATTCCTTGATGTCGGTGTGTAATAACGTGATCTGGAATTTTGTTGGTTCGATATAAAGAATTCTATACAGGATCCCATAATCAACCCTTATGTTCTATAAGGGAATCCATGCCAGCCCCACTTGTTGCTTCCTTTGAGAAACCCCGCAGAGAAACAGAAGAAGAATTTGTCTCACGGTTTTCACAGCAGTGAAAGTACATTCAGAGGTCAGTAGGACAATATGTATCATTTTGAGTACAACTTAAAAGATCCTAATTTCAGCATGCAAAACTATCTTTTCAGTATTTCAAATCGAATCAAACACAAACAGGGTTGGATGATTATGAAGACCACACCAGGAAATGTACATGGTACAACTTGTTTATCGATGGAAATGCTTTGGAGATGAAGGAAAGCAATACATAAGTATCTCATAAAGAACGGGCACAACCGCTAGTGCAGTAAGACACAAATAACTAAGATCTGCATTAACATGTACCTTTGTTTCTTTCAAAGGTTTTGCGGTTTTAATCCAATGTAAGACGATCCAAAATCCGCTGGAAAAATGTTTCGGATTTTGTTTACCGCACAAGATGGCACAGCTATCCTGAAGTGTTTGCCGAGATAACCTCAACACTGACGAACAAGCTATCCGTAGGCAATTTAGCGAAATTTCCTGCCGGGAAAGAAGTGAAAAACAACTAGCTGTAGTATTGTATTGTTAAATCAATGGCAGAAACAACTCAAGCAAATCGATCTAAAAATGTAACAAAACAGATGAAACAGAAAACATTTAGCTGATTATCTGAGCCTTACTGCTGCCTGTACGTGTAATAGGCCGTCTCCAGCACCCAGAAATCGACTGAAAACCAGGATGCTCAGCGATACAACCTATCTGGATTGCAGGCCCTTGCTCATATACTTTTTGCCACAATTGCCCGATTTCCTTACAACAAACACTTTCATGAGTTGTCGGAGTTGGTTGACAAGTTCCACACTCACGCCTTTGATAATTTTATACAAAACACCCTCAGAAGCTCAGGTTTTAAAAATTTCTGTTGTATTCTTTTAGATTGTACCCTTGCTTTATTGGATTTTCATGTCAAATAAATCTCACAGTAAATTAAACATCAGTTTGAGTTTCCGAGGAGGTCGCATCGCTGTCAACATAATAATTTTTCCAAGCCCTGAATAGGCGAGGAAAAAATACAAGCAACGAGCAAGATTTCCGCTTGTGTTATGTGTTAAACCATCGAATGAGAGATTCATTATTCCACTATTATTTTCAGTTTTTAGTATTTTAACTTTTATTGTGCGAATTACATCCTACGGCTTTATCTGTGCATCGTATCCATTGCATAAGATATGCGCGAAAGATGGAAACAACCAGAACTAAAGCATTCAAATGTCCTTTGTATTCTTTTGTGCTTAAAAGTTCGCTTCTTTAAAAGTCAAATGTAAAAAACGAAAAAAAAAAAACAATGTTTGGATCGTTCAGTGCTGCCAATATGTTGCGACGTATTTTGCCTTGTTTTAAAATGTAATACTGTGGCATATTTTGCCTTCCTCATTACTTTATTTGGTAAAATGACACAGTAGTGGAATGATAAAGCTCATTAATGTTCTGATTCATATGAAGTATCACCAATTAGTTATTCAATTGCGTATTGCATTTGTATTCATTCTTAGACCCGTCCACAATTCAAAATGTCACCACGTCATCTAAGAAGTCTTGGATTGGCCAGACAGTAACTTTGAAGTGTCTTTCTGATGGTGTTCCTACACCAACACTCTCTTGGTACAAACCTAAAGGAAGTGGAATAAACAGAGTCACAGCCAGAGAAAACGAAGTACAAGTGCCACTCAGGGGTGATCAAGATTTTGGTCATTACAAGTGCATTGCTGCCAATGGACTTCCTCCATCTGATGAGAAATTAATAAAGATAAATCAGATAAGTAAGTAAAAAAGATCAGTGTATTGTGATAAGAAGAAGACTATATATAAGGTCAGCATTTTTTTTTTGTCTTTGCTCATTATCACTGTTTCAGTTGCAGAAGAAGTAAAAACCAAATGTTCTTACAAAGCACTCGACAGAGTAACTCATTCACTTTGTACATCTCATTCGATGATTCAACATGTAATACGTGCGGATATTTTGCAAGGCTTATAGGCGTGTGGAAAAAAATAAGCTTATGTTAAACCATCGAGTGAGGGATTTATCATTCTACTATTCTTTCATTTACTAACAATTTGCGTTTTCGACATTCATCCTACCTTATCTGAGCATTCGCATTTTTCGCGTTCGTTACCCAATGAGGTATAACGGCGTAATAGTGGAATTATTCTGGATATTTTTAGCCTCATCATTTAGTGGGAAATGCAATAAAATTTCTTAAAAAAAGGTTTAAAGTAAACTGTCGACACCTTGCCCTTTGGTAGCATTAAACACGTCACAAAGAGCATTGAACTTCAGGCAGATTGATGACATCTTCCCATGCGGGTATCTATAGGAAACTTCCTCAACCATGGACTATAAATTTTTTCACTTTTTATGAGTCTCTTGGCTGAATGTATCCGGTAGCTACATTTATATTCATTAATTACATGTTAACGCACTCAGCGAATGAACTATGGGGATTTACCTGCACGAGTTCACGGACTATTACACCACGATAATGACGTCAAGGAGGTTGTTTCGTCACAACCCAGTATCACGTGGTAAAATCATCTAATCAGAAAATCGGAATTCGAACAGTGTATGAAACTTGAATAATAAACTGTGATAAGACATGGACTTGCATTCATCCTTAGTGTTGTGACAAAACTCAAAATAATCTCTTTTCTTATGGCACTATGTAGAGAAACCAGGGAAAGCATCCATCAAATCAGAATCAGTCATTCAAGCAACTTCTATAACAATACAATGGACTGCACCAGCTGATGATGGAGGAAGTCCGATTACAGGATTCCAAATGATCTTACAAAAGGATGGAACTGAGATAAAAAAGGTTAATATCACCGATCCTGGGACGACAAGTTATTCGTTTCCTGGTTTGGAGAAAAATACCAACTACACAGTGAAACTGTTTTCCAGAAATTTTGTATTCGAGGGAGATCCTACTGTATGGAACATTAAGACCAAGTTTGAAGGTGAGGAATCAAAAGTGATATCGTGACTGAGCACTTTCCACCAATCATTTTTTCGCCAACTTAGATTTGTTGTGAGTAACCCAGTTTTAACAACGTTATCTGCTTGCTGCATTATAAGATTTTGGATTTTCAGCGTTTGTCCCCTCCTTAGTGGCCAGTTTCCTTTCCCTTTGTGATAATTGTTTTAGAGATACCTACGTTTGAAGAAGCATAATAATAAACAATGAAAAACCAATGATCGTAGGTGAGAACAATAGACAACCTACGCGGTTACGTTCCGTAAATGTTACCTGATTTATCAAGTATTGTTTGCCTTGTCGTTTTTTTTTTTTTTTTTCTAATGTTCAAGTTTCAAAATCTGTTATGTGAATCAGCAACAACAGCCGCTAGAGAGTGATCTTTAGGTTGGATACATTTTTCCTAAACTCTTACCGGCCATATTCAGAACGCCCAATAACCAACTATCCCTTTAGGCCGTGAGACGATTTCCACACATCGTTTGACCAAAGAATTGAAGTTTGAAGAAATGGGCCTTTCATGAATGTCGCTTCTAATATGCAAATATTATGGGGAAATCTCGTCAAACAGTGTGTGGACGGCCTCGAAGAATCCTTCGTATATTTTCTTTAAGATGAGAAATAGCTTATTTTCATTTTGCAGGGATTAGCCCAAACCAAAACAATTAAGGTTGCCGTTTTCAAGAAAGTTTCTTTCGAATCTCATCCGGCACATATCTCACTCAACAAAAAAACTATTTTGGTAACAGGTGTGAACTTAGTAACTGAATTTGAGCAGCCGTAATGTGGCAATGAAGTTCGTCGCACCTGTTATCGCTTAAGCGCTTCTTGTCATTGCCTCCTCGGTTGGCAAACCGCCTGAAGAAAAAAGCTTGTTGTCTCGGCGGAAAAACCCGCGCCAGCTTATATTTGCAGAAGAAGAATCGTAGGCCTGTACTTAATCATGCGCGATGTCAAACTTTTCAAAAGCGGAAAGTAGTTGCACACGAACTGAGATCCTTTCTGTAACTACGTGACACAAACGAACGGTGAATTGTGACGTCATCTATGCATCGGTCCTTCATTTGATCACGTGTAAATAGCAATTACAATGCCAGTAGAAGTCAGTGTATCGTTCAAATTCACCTTATAAATGCAGTATTTGTTTTAGGCAATAACCGACCATCATTTTAGGCTTCTCATTATCACTTTTTGTCCTTTCAAATTATTTTGAATTTATCTCAATACTTAACTTAATTTGGTTGCCATACACTTTCGTCTCAGAAATATCCCAAACAAATCCTCGACCAGTTTACAGATTAGTTAATCATTGATAATGGTTCTGACCAGGTTTGTAACAAGAAATTATATAATTATTAGAAATTTCACGCTGTTCGTGTCGTTGACATCAATCTAGGAGCCCCAGATGTGGTCGAAATAGACGAACTGCCAGATGAAACAACAGACGATACAATTACCCTAAAGTGGAAGGAGCCAGAAAGTAATGGAAAAGTTATTACCATGTATACAGTGTACCAAAGAGTAGTGACTGATGGGAAAGTGGGACAGTGGACAGAAATAAGGAAAATCAGAGATGTTTCTGTGAGAGAATTGAAAATAGCGTTGGAGAGAGGAAAGGTGTATCAGTTTGCCATTACTGCAACTAATGAGCTTGGTGAAAGCCTGAAACAAGAGAGAGAAAACATCCAGCAAGTCAAGGCAGAAGGAAGTATGTTCAAATGAATCTTATTTTCCCCTTTCAACGGTTTATCCTTTTCTTTACTTAGTTTTCAAGGACTCTCCGTGTCATGAACATCGAGGTTTTTACGGGTGAGTTCTTCGCTTGCAAGAACCTTAATCAATGAGAAAAATTTTTACTTACGTCGCAGTTGATATTTGTATGCCAACTGCAAATATATGGCATATCTATTAACTGAGATTTTAATCATTGGCTGGCACACACAAATATTTTAAGTCTGACACATGCTGATCTGAATCTGGTAAGAGAAGTCTGCAACACTTTCGTTTAATCTTCTTACATTTAAATTAACTGCTTTTTTCTTTCCTTTGCTGCCATCACTTAGCTGATGCATCTCTCCCACATCAAAAAATTTCACTCTCCCACACTGAATTCCGAGAACTCTTCTGTCATTTTCACCACCACGGCACTTTATTCCTCATACCGATGAAAGCGACTTAGAACTTAGCCTCCTCTGCGCACCGTAATTCCGACATCAGATTACTGAACCGCGAGAACTCAGAATTGTCGGCGATTTCGCTTTAGCTTAATTAAGAATGTATGGTCACGCTGCCTCACGCTCCGAACAGAGAGGTTGTCTATCTTTTCACAGGTTTTCTTCGGTGAGGCTACAGAGCGTGACGCAAACTTCCTGTCTCAAGGTCATGAAGGGGTATTCATTTTCTTAGGTCTTAGGTCTTAGTTTTCGGGGATCTTCGTTTTCGCTACAAACGTAGTTCACTTTCTCTTTGTTGATGATCTCTTTTCAGTCTCTTTTCTGGAGCTCTTTGTATTCTCTTCTCACATTGGTCTTCGCTAGATATTCGCCATTCTACTTTACCCTTTTCTTGTTTTCTATCGTCTTCCCCTCGCTGTGTTCTGCCTATTCTTCGCCCTATCAATCCCCATTTCGCGTTTTTCTCGACTCGCTCCACGCCTTTTAAGTTCTTTCTCTCTTTGGTCTCTCTCTCTCTCTCTCTTTGGTCTCTCTTTCTCTCTCTTTCTCTCTATTTCTTCCGTTTGGAAAAGGGAAAAGCTTTAGCTATGAGTATCGTGGCTTTGCAAGTTTATTAGAAAATTGCAAAATACCAAGAATCACTTTTCAACAACAACCTCACCAGTATGATTTCCTGCTCAAAACACGGGTTGCAAATTCTTTCCTTGCGCTGCTTCACATCCTCTAACCAACATGAAACCTTTCTAGGTTTCTACAAATATCTTTGAAGTTGAATCTTAAGTCTCTTTTCGTTATCAAGTTTGAGATGAGATATTCTAGTTCTAGCTTGTCTTCGTTTAAATCAAACTTTAGCAGCGCAAGAAACAGAAACAAGACAAATTCCGTATTTCAGTGCCTAGAGTTGCCATGATCATTGAAATTTGGTTTAAAGAGGACAATCGTGAAACACGAATAATCTGAAGAGAAGAACTGAAAACAGGTTGAAAGTGACTATTCTTTTTAATTTAGTACAACTATCAGAGGAGTTTGACACAATAGAGAAAACTGTGGAGTGAACAATCATAACTGGCGACATAAAGAGAAGATATAAGAGAAGCCCGTACGTTTCTGGCGTATTGTTTCACTGACTCACTCTTCTCATTTATACCCATCTATTAGTCGACCGGTAATCTCTTAACTGGAAGTTGCTTATGGTCGTTTCTTTCAACTCTGACTCATTTTCCCAAACCAAAGTTCACAATAACGCTCAATGAAATATCATTTCAACCGACGCTGACATCATACACGACATCTGAAGAAGAAAACATTATTTATTCTGAACCTGTGCGCACTCTGATTGCCTTGCATCATGGTCGCAAAAGTAAAACTGAAGCCCCGTTTAAACGGTCATGATAGTTGACGATAGTGTCAACTATCAAGCGCGTTTGAACACGAACTGTCATGTTCTATCATCGCATTTCATCAAAAATCATGTAGTTTGGACATGTCCAAATTCGACATGATAGTTAATGATAGTTTTTGCTGTTTGAACGAGAGAAGGATAGTGAATGATAATTGTTAGGTCAGCAGTTTTGCCCAAAAACGGGCTCAAACCGAAATGGCAACGGTAAAATGACTAAAATAGCCGTCGAAATTTCCCAGAATGTCTCGTAGTTAATTCCCATCATTTCTTGGTAGGCTTCTGTATCTTTAACTTGTAACTTCTTGACTAAAATTTCAAGTGCCGCTGAAATTGCTGACCTTAGCGCGCACCGTATTTGTGTACAATTACGCGATCTCATTGCGTGATATTTTGTCAACTATCATTGACTGTCATGAACCGTTTGAACACAAACTTGATAGTCAATGATGTGAATGAAAGTTGCAACTGTCATTCAGTTGTCTATCATTAACGTTCATGATCGTTTGAACGGGGCTTAAGTCATTTGCATCTTGTCGCAGTCGAGTGAACATCTTTGATGGAAGAGAGAGTAGCGAGAAATGTATATAATGGGAATTCACTGTCTGTTGCCGCTCCTTCGTTAAAAAGGAAAGTTAAAAAGAGTTGAAGGGCCTGTGGGCTCTCGTAATTCTTCCGCGACCAAATTCGTTCTTAGGAGGCAACTAAAGAGATTCAGAAAGAATCGAAACAGCAGTCTTGCTTAAGAATCTTCACGAACGGCAGCAATTACACTCCCAGCTGATGGCTGTGTGAATGATATCGAATTCAGAAATTGCATTCCTAGACGGGACTTATTTATAATGACAGGGAATCGACCCTTGGCATGCAAATGTATTACAAAGAGATAGAGTCATCCACCAGGCGTAAATAGGGGGCTGGAATTTGAGGTCGCTACGTTGATCACTGTATCAGTGCTACTTTTTCCACCAGAGAGGAACTCAGTCATTTTTTAATTGCGGTCAGTTACTTTCATTGAGCTCTAAAATAGATCTAGGAAATTTCTGACACCTCTTTGGCTTCTCTAGAAGTCAAAGTTAACAGATAACAGTCTATGCATCAGTGGGTGTGCTACAGACTATGTCTCATAGTTTTGTCATCTTCAAATCTATCACATGTCAAGAATACCATTCCTTGTTCTCAGTGTCTTAGGCTTCATCGCCTATATATTGACAGTTCTGATTTTCCAAGATGTCAGAGGTAATACGCCAGTTCTTCTCCTACCTTTGTCATTCAAGGGAGTCTTAAACAACTGATCGAAAGTCGGCATTCTACAAACGTCACAGAAGGAAAAAAATGATCGTATTCCATTTTACCGGCAAGACCTGTCCTTCTAACAAATTTAAATTACTTCAAAATGATCCAAAAACTGGTATATTATTTTCGCATAAAACATAGACAACTATTTGGTCAGAAATACTTTCTAAATAAATGATCAACCCGAGGCTTTCACCTTGCGTGCATGACACAAAACTTTTCCTTTCATAAATAATGTTGAGACCAATGTCATCTATGTCATAACTTGCGGTTATTTCAAAAAGTTATACTTCGGCGAAAAAGGAAGACGACTTGGGGAACGATTCTGAGAACACCATCGTGACGCAGAACACAAGAAAAACAATATCTCTCAAATTGGCCTCACATTCGTACATTTTATGCCAGTGTTCTTTGTAAGTAAAGGCTGTTTTTTATACATGAGTTCAAATGATAATTCTTGTGCAAACAAACAAACGTTCATTTTAAGTCGTATTTTGTTTTTCCCCAATTCAAACAGTAAGCTCAGAAGTTTACCTGACAGCGACAATACAGGAGAACTGTAGCAGACGTTCAGAAGTTGCTGCGAAATTTCCAGAAATGGTGAGATAATCTACTTGATCCATATACTGGAGTTTAAGGAATACTGCCATGAGATTTATCATGAAAAGTGAATCTTAATCAATCTGTTCTTGAATGAAATGGTAATATTTCTGTTAAAAAGGATATTTTGAACGATCTTCAATATGTGACAATATTGATATGTCCTTTCAGGCTTGTCAAATTGCCTTTAGGTTTGGCTGCTCCTCCGCCAACACTGTGAACACCAGGTAAGTTACAGGTTGTTGTTTTACACTGAAACAACAAACGCAAATTTGTGTTTTGGAAGGGGGGAGGAGCTTTTTCTCAGTGTGTTGTATTTTAGCGGTAAAACTGGTTTTTCTTCTCGAGCAAATCTTATTTAATGCAAGATAATTTACATTTAATATACAGTAAGATATTGGCACAGAATGATACGAATTAATTTTATTTACCTTAATTTATTACATTGGTTAAATCTCAATATATTTTAACACTTAAAAGTCACCAAAGTACAAATATGTGTGATGATACTTTTTGCTCTCCCCTCCTTCCCCCCTTATCTAGGTGTGGCAGTGTTGTTCTTGACTTCATGATGAGGTTCAATCAAAGTGTAGTCGTCAGCAATGTTTTGATTCTCCTGTCGGATGCTGCAAGGCAAGACAAATTCGGAGGTTTTAAAGTCAATCCAGACTCAATTAAACAAGTTTTAATACCCACAGATGGCTCGGAAAGCACAACAGAAGGTAAAATTTACAAAGAAATCGTTAAATGGTTACACGTATTCTTCCGAAGATGGACTGTTTATAATTGTATTCCGTATCTGTTTAATTAAACAACTTATTCTGTGACTGATACATTTCCATGTTTTTGTTTTTTTCGATGTTGTTGTTTTATTTAAGGTCCTGAAGAATGCAACTGCCCATCTAACAACGTCTTGTTGGCCATAATTGGGGTTCTTGCCTTCACAATCCTTCTTCTAATTATTTACATAATCTGGCTACATAAGAAAGGTAGGTAAAAGATCATAATCTGTGATAGAAGGTTTGGCTGTAAGATTCATTATTAAGCAAAAGCAAATTTTTACCCACATCCACATCACTGTTCTTTTTGTCCTTTCGTTCTTTTTCAGGCGCTGTAGGGAAACAGAGGTAAGAATTTGCTGCCAGTAGGATTGTGTCGACGTAATGTACCAGATATGGTTTCATCTTAACAAAAAATTCCAATCAAAACTGATGAAATTCTAAGCGTTTTATAATTATTTCTATGCTTTCTCAATTGTAGGACTTATGAAGATGAAAGAGGTGTTTGCTACGTAAGTTAAAGCTAAGACATTGAGGTCATGTTAGTGTGGCCAGATATTATGTAATCTCACTTTACCTCTACTTTCTATAAGAAAATAAACGCTTGCAGCAAATAAAAAGGAAAAAATATGTAGTTCTACATAAAATAGCATATTGCATCAGTGGCAGATACAATGAAATAGAGGAGGAAGTTAGGCTTGATAAGGTCTTTGTCCTGGGATCATGTCCTAAGCTGCTCCATGGATTTTCTTTCGGTTGTTCTTGGTTCAACTGCCTGGCTTCACTTCAATGATCGCGAACTGTTCTGCACCCGGTTGATATTTGCTTTCTAAACAATTGATTTCGCGCATTTTTGGCCGTCTTATTTTCTTGATGCTTTATTTTCTAAAGGTGGGTTTAGGAGCTGAGTACACCAGGATTTTGTTCCTGCGTTTATTTGTCAAAAATTGCACTACCAATCGACAATCTTCATGTTGCAGTTTGTGGCTTCGGCGAATATGCTATGAGCCTCGATCACTCCACTGAACATGATAGTTTCAAAAGCAGAGAACAAAATGTTAGTGATAACAAAGTGTTAGTAATAAAAAATGTTAGTAATAATAAGAACAAGAGATTATAAACTATTTTTCATCTCTTGTCATGGAAGAATATAAACGTTTGTCTGAGAAAAATGGGTGAACTGATTTTTATAACCAACGGTGTGTTGGTTTAATAGAATGAAACAGGATTAGAAGATATCGAACCAAGTCTACCCGATTCAAGAAAACTCACTCAGCCTCCTGCTGAATACATGGATCTCATAGAAGTCAACAAAGATAATAGAAAAGCACAAAGAACAGCTCCAGGTGCTGATTACGCGCCTCTTCATCCGTTAACACGCTGCTGGGAAGTTCCAAGACATCACGTGACCATAGAAAAAATAATTGGTAAAGGCGCTTTTGGTCAAGTTGCCAAGGGAACAGCAGTAGGACTTCCAGGGAGTCCTGAGACGACCACAGTGGCTATTAAGATGCTTAAAAGTGAGCTCTTGTACTGTAAATTGAATGACAGTCTTGGCCTACAGACATTCAAGAATTGTTACCGGGTTAACGTAATTTTCTAGCTATTTGCCTTTTCATAAGTTATGTTGGTATTTCGACACGCTTCCCGTTAACCAAATTTTACTCCTTGTTTTTAACGCTCTAGCAAACGCTACTGAATCGGACAAGAGAGATTTGATGAAGGAACTTGACACAATGAAGCAGCTGAAACCACATCCTTACGTCATTAAACTTCTGGGATGTGTTACTGAATCTGGTATGCTTTGGTTATGCGGGTTTAATTTTGTTGTACACATTTTTCACCTGATTTACTCTGTAACGCTTTCTCTTCGTCGATAATTTGCTTCAATGGAAGAGTCACTGCTTCGCAATTGAGCACAACAAACAACCATCGCATAAGGTTATCTTGTTTTAGCCAACACAGACGTTCCTGGATTTAGTGACAGACTAAGACCGAATATTTGCCACTGGGCAGATCATTCTGTTGTATAGGCAGAAACGCTTTTTGTGAGGGAATAATTGGTCTGTACCTTCTTATGAGATCGTTACATAGGTTTTCTTGTTTTCGTGCGATTTCTTCAAGGGTTGACCATGACTGGGGTATTTATTTATTTATTTTAATTATTGCTAATTTTTTTTAAGAGAGAGTAATATATGAACTAAATTGTTTAATTTCTTCAGAACAGCTGTTGGTTTTGATTGAATATGTGCCTTTTGGGGATCTGCTGGGTTACCTGAGAAAGAGCCGTGGATTAAAAGACACTTACTACAAAGACCCGGATATCAAACCACAAACAAATCTGACGTCGCAGCAGCTGATGAGGTTTTCTTGGCAAATTGCTGATGGAATGAGTTACTTGTCCGCAAAATCTGTAAGTTAATTAAAAACACAAAAGACAAACAATTCTAAAACCTTCTTGTAAGGTCTATCGTCATGTTAAGCACTGTCTTGCATAGAATATTATGTCTTCACAAGATCACGCCCGGGAGTTACAAACGTATTCCAACCGTCTTGATGAGGCTATTTCTTTAGGGCCAGGAACCCTCACAATCTTGACGTCATCATATAAGTTTTATTTCAATGTGAGAATGGCGATATTTGTGCATCTTTGCAGGTGCACCCCATCGAAATAAAATATCTGGATTTTTCTCGTGCAGGCAAAGGCAGAGACGTGAATGCATAGGATCTTTTAAGATATTCAGCCTAAACTAAGTGTACAACAAACGTCCATTTTAGTGACAAGGAAGAATAGGAATAAAAACTTTAAATTAAAAAATTCATCTTTTGTCGCTAAACTGCTCCATTACAGAATTCTATTTCGATTAAAATCTTAAGATTAGCGTTCTTTGAAATAACTACGTATTGCAGATATAAAGTAGTTTGCTTCTCTTTGGAATATGGAGGAGTTATTGTAGTAGTTTTAATTTTCTGCCATCTGGAAGAAAGAGAAATACGCACACCATATTATGTTGTAGATATTTCTATTTTCCTATCCGAACCATTTCATTTCAGTTCTTTTTCTTCTGCAATCGCAAATTTTTGCTGTTGCATCAATTCCTTTCAAGATCATTCACCGAGACCTTGCGGCCCGTAATGTGTTGGTTGGACAAAAGGAAATGTGTAAAGTGACAGACTTTGGAATGGCCAGAGATGTGCAGCAGGAAAATATTTATGAACGAAAGACTAAGGTACTCAAGAAAAAAGGGAGGTGGGGGCGGTATTACGTATCGTTCAGTTTAGTGATCTTTCACAATCATTGTTGTGGTAAAGCTGATATATTCCTGATTTCGATCATGAATTCCTTGGGACCCTAATGAAAACATTATCCATGCGTATACGAGTACAACTTTAAATATCACTGTTTTTGACTAGTCGCTACCTATAATTCTCGAGCTGTTTCACAAAGTGATATTTAAAATCTTTAGGGCCGTCTTCCCGTGAAGTGGACAGCTTATGAGGCCTTATTGTATGGTAAATATACCACCAAAAGTGATGTGTAAGTATACCTGATTATCAACCGTAGCAATTTATCAATAAGTTTTATCAATTTTAGTCTGGACTTGAATTCTATGCTTTGTCAAAGAATACATATATTTTATTCGTCGTATATACTGTTTATGTCTATAGTCACTTAATTTATGTTCGTTTGATTTGTCTTTCTGCAGATGGAGTTATGGAGTTTTGTTGTACGAGATTTTCACCATAGGTAACATCGAATGGAAGTTTATGAGGCTCCTAATTAAACAATGTATCGTGTTCAGTTAGACAAACGTAATAAGCTTCCCCATGCAACCTCAAACTCCATCAATTGACACAGGTATGTTTTAGTGAAGGTCTTTTTTTTGTCACGTTTATATTTCGATGATCTTGTGGTTCTTCCAGGCGGTTCACCTTACCCACGAATGGATGGAAGAAAAATTGCAAACTTACTTCAGGATGGATACAGGATGCCTAAACCACAACACGTCGATGAAAAATTGTAAGTTTTCTTTGTTACCTCGTTCTCTCTCGTTGTACAAGGAAATGCTCTTCAAATCTCAAACAGATCACTTGAACAATGCCAGGTATCAAATCATGATGAAATGCTGGAAGAATGACCCAGATGCAAGACCAACTTTTACTAAATTGAAAATTCAGCTTAAGGACATGGAAACCCTACACAAGGTGAGAATTTTGATCAATATGAAAGTTTCTTTTCACGACGACCGACTGACTAAGGCTCAGCTAATTAGGGTTAAACTTAATAGCATTGAGCCTAAATAGCGTAGTATTATGTACTCATCTTTGTAATTTTTACGAAGTTTGGATTGCATCTTTTTGCTATGTCACTGAAGCTAGCACTCCATGAAAAAAAGCAAAGAAGTGAACTAGAATGTCTCAATGACAATTTACACTTTATGGTTATTTAAAAGATCATAGGATGATTGCAAAACTGCATTGAGACGCACAAAGAGTAGCAGATGACGACGCCATAAAATACTTCCTCCTTGAATTTGTTTTGGTGTGAAAACCTGACCACTTGTGAGGATAACCACTTAAAACTTTTTTAATGATGCCGATTATTATTTTTCTCTACAGAAGCTGATCAACATGACAATGTACGACAAGCAGTTGTATGCAAACGTCGAGGATTTAATAGTGTAGTTATATACATGTTCACGGTGTATGACTGGCTAACATTTTGAACACTTCGCCCAGACAAGTTTCAGGGATTTATTCATTTTTTCCTTACACGCTGACTTGGTAGAAATAGCCATGTTGTGTTAATCAGTTAGGCTGGAACGTTGTAATACAATTGACTTTATATTCTTAAACGCTGAAGCGAATTTATAAGTTTACCAATAAAATATACTCTCATTTTCTCTTAAACATATTAAGTACTTACATGTATGCCTCGACACAAGCGTTTGAGTTCAGTTTATTTTGTGGCTCATTCTAAAAGGCAGGACAGCGCGAAAAAGAAATCTAATAATGAGATGATGATGAGATTTCGCTCTGAATGCCATAGTTGTGTACAATTTTAAAAAATTGCTAAAAAATATTTTTGCCGCAAAACCCGCTTGTTTGCAGGAAAGCTAATCGTGCGCATAAATTCTTTTCCCCAAGACCGCCTTTACATGCGATACCAACTCGAAATACTTTTACACTGAAAGTATTAATAAAATTAACGGTATTTTAATCAAAATTATACGTGGCACATTACATCTGCAGGAAAGTTTGTTGTTTGGCCCAATCGCCTGATAGTTTTCGCGTACTAGATACTATTACTCAACGAAACTGGTCTTAAGTACGTGTTCAAGTCTTTTTTCTTGGATACGTTGCTAATATAATAGCTTTAATTTTTTTTTGAAATATATATTTATATAATAAAAGTGTCAAAAAGTTCAAAGTTGACTCTGTCTGCATGATGATGCCTTATACAAGTTTACATCTTTCACTCCACGACATTAATCTAATATATCTTGACCCATCTCTCTAGATCTCTCCTTTGAAGGGAGGACAAAACCAAACCAAAGTAAACGAGCTTCCGGAAGTGCAAAAATCGCTTGTGCGTGTTTCAGGAGACTTACATCCAGGAGACCATGTTCTCCTGTCACTCTCATTAGAGGTTAAGTTAAGAGTCGATCAATTTTACATAATTATAAACTAGGTTACTTTTTGCTCAAAACCCTTCTTTCTTCAGCTGCACTAAATAATTGCACTAGAAACAGTACTTAATATGAAAACAACGCTCTTTCAGTCTGGAGCAGAGGATACCTGAGGAATAGTCTTAACATTCAAATGAAGGAGATTTTTGCTTATGTTTGGAAATATTTCCTGACGTTATTTTGTTTCTGGGAGCAAAATGGTACTCCAGCATACAGAGGAGAGGGGGTGAAATGGAGGGGGGGGAGGGGGGTCGTCTTAGCTTTGCAAAATGAATTTACCGAAATTTTTTATATAATTTTTTGCAGGTTTTTGCTGAGAGGGAATGAGTTTTATCCTAACATTCCTTCAAATGTCGAACTTTGTCAAATACAAGGTCTGATAGGACTAAAAGAAACAACAAAACAGAACACAAATTAAATCACTTCTGGTTCGCTTTTACATCAGGCGATCAACTGGGAAGCCTTTGTTTTACGACAGTGTCTTGAACTAAACGGTACACACCGAAGATGCGTAGACCACATTTCACGTAACAAAAAAGTCTCTTCCCACTCATTCTGATATGCTGCTTTTGGTATAACACACGGCTGAAGTTAAAAATAATATTTGAATACGTCTTTCTTAATCAAATATAAAGAGAAGTATGAAGGTTACGGTGGCGGAAAATGAAGAAAAAACAAAGCAAAAAACAAAAAAACTATAACAATGATTTTCTCTATTCACTTTGCCTCTACTTCTCACTCAGTGAGTCAACAATATTGAACACAAAAACTTTTGTGAACTGCTAATATAAATATTTTCAGCTTTAAATGTGAATAGCAGCTGAAAGTCTTCTGAGGTTTACTTTTATTCTTTAACGCCGCTGGTCAAGCACACGTCGAGGAGTCCACAAACTTCTTGAACACTGCTATCTATCTATATTTGAAAAAGCGGGGGAGATTTGGGTCGGGTCGCGTATTGCTTCGCTGTAACTATCACCAGCTCATTTATTTCGTTCAATTTTACTAATTGAACGCCAAGAACAGGCTGATGACTCCAAGTCTCTGCAATTTTTTAATGTAGTGGTCTTGCTTAAAAAATGGACGTAAGCCGTAATCGAAGAACCATTGTCTTTCGTACAATTACTGAATATTATGTACACTATATTTAACAACTGTTCTATGAGCGCGCACTTGATATGGGTTGGGATACCAGTCTCGTATCCAACAAGAGCCAATGGAATTGTTGAGTTATTAAATTTTTCACTTTTTGATAATGCTTACGGAGCTTACTAAGTTCGTTTTAACTCTCAATTTTTCTTCAAATTAGAGCCACGAGAAGTCAAAGTCACATCCGGTCGTCAAAACGGCAAAACTTGAATCACATAAGCAACGTTTAAGTTACGTTCGACGCTGAATTAAAATTCAACGCTAGCAATTTACACAGCCGGACACGATGAAAAGTAATCTCCGATCCAAGACACGTTAAAGGGTACGACATACAATACTTACGAGACAAGCGTTTAGGTGTGTTCGAGTTCCAGCCTATTAACAAGCGAAAAATATAATTTTGTGCACAGTTTTCTAAGTGTTTTGTTTCACTTGAACGGAGCAAGGCTTGTGATCGAGGATAGCTTTCGTTTCAATATCCTGAGCTTAATTTCTCGCTCCGAGTGTACGAGTTAACAGTTACAACCCTACTGAGACAAACATTCGATTAAATCAATAAAACGTCATGCTTATCCTAAAGTCTTTTGCGAACGGAGCTAGTGCGAACTCCTTAAGTAAAACTTAAAAGATAAATTCAGCTGAGCGACAATTGGATAAATCATTCTCCATAGAAGGTTGTATATGAGATGATGACCGGAGTTGAGGGAACCAAACAGAAGACTAGAAATGATATATTATGATTTTGAAATTTAATAAAAATAGCTAGTTAGTGAGCGCGTACCATTTTATCCAGTTGGGAATCGAAACTACCACCTTCCGTTCAGTACTTCGAATACTCCAACGCTGAGGTACAGAAGACTTGTGGCAAGGTTGCTCGCTTAACTATGTGCATGGAGATAAACTTTATGATTATCGATATGTGATTCTTACGAAAAATGATGATCTAAATTAATATCGAAAATTCTAAGCGAGGTGATTTTAAAGAAGGATGTTATTCAGTGAATGGCGCAGGCAAACTCGGGAAAAAAAAAGAAAAAAAACCTGAGTGCTTCTTATAGGACTCGAATCTACGACCTTCCAATTTGTAATAGAGGACGCTCTACCACTAATCTACAAGAGACTCGTGGCAAGTTAAGCCGCATAAATAGGCCTATGATGACAAACTCCTTGCATATTGCTATGATATAACTTAAGTCAATTTTCCATATACTTAGTTTGCGATGACTGATTTCGCTTACCTCTGAATAACTGACTCTATCAGGAAACCTAAGTGGCCAAAGAAGGGAAGAGAAGACTGTATCAGCGCTACCTTCTCTACCCGTGATGAGCTGACTCAATTAACAACCACCTGGGAAATTTCCAACATTTCTTTGGCTTTTCTACACATCAAAATTTCAATTGAAGGCAACGGTCTCTGCACAAGTGTTTGTTTACTTCTAACATTCAGATTCACTTACTGACTTGTTGTATTAATCTTTGCATCCATTACAAGTCTAGTATTCTATTTCTTTTCGCAGTTTCTCAGACTTTGTCGTTTATTTAGTGACGACTCTGATTTTTCCCTCAAATCAGTGGCAACGTGCCAGTTTTTTTTTTTATTTCTAGAGAAGTCAAAGAGGTGTCAGAAATTTCCCTGGACTATTTTAGGGATGGATGAAAGGAACTGACAGCAGTTGAAAATAACTGAGTTCCTCTCAGGTGGAAAAAGTAGCGCTGATACAGTGATCAATGAAGCGACCGCAGAGTCCAGCCCCCTATTTACGCCTGGTGGGATTACTATGTCTCTTTGTAATCAGTTTGCATGTTTGTCTGCCCAAAGAGGTCGGCTACCCTATACAGTAGGTTTACAAAACTTGTTTTGCTCTGCCAAAACTCTCAACAAATTTTGTCTGCACCAAATTTTAAAATTTTGTTATCACGTGTGGACTTGCAGACAACTAAATATTTGATAAGCACAGTGTCAATTATATTGAAATTGAACACCTTTCTTTAGGTTCTGTTCGCGAGAAAGCTTATGTTTAGATGTAAACCATCATTCTTCAGAGAAAGTGTTGCCTCGCCGTGATAATTATTGCTCATATTTTATTTTTTTTTTTTTTTCGTTATTGTCTTCACCGTTCTTCGTCTTCACTGCTCGATTGCTGCGCGAGAATGAAATATTTTGTTAGGTTTCTGTGTGAATAGATCCTCTTAAAGTGAGATCAAATTTACTTGATTGACAGGAAGAAGGCACCTCTGAAGTTTTGTACGGTTTAAAATTTTGGTAGAAAAAAAAGTGCGCACTTAATTATAAACAAAAATCACCGCATTCGTTCCAGCTTTTAATGAGTTTTGACCAATGACATATGACACTTTCTCCACCAATTGGAAAGCGTTTTGGAGTTGGGAGGTACCGTGTGTAAATTAACTAAACAACCCCGAATCTTTTGTTTTATTTCTTCTAAATATCTATAATATCAACAAATACACTTACACGTAACTACTCGCTTGTTGACAATTTCTTTTAAAGTATTTCCTCCTTACATCAACAGGCCTTATTTTCATTGGCGGAAAACCTAGATGAAAGCGAAACGTTATTCATTTCATCACAGAATTTGCTCGGAGCAAGGCCACCTTCAGTTGTTTATTTGAAAAAGAACTCAATTAAACAAGAGAAAAAGTTCACTTCACCCTAAGCACTTGAAGAAATATTTGTTTATTTGTACAGAGATAGAGTGGATATTACATTAGCTGAACATGCTGGTAAGCAATTCGCTGCAAGTGATCATGGAGGCTGTTAAATGACTGTCCTCTTTGACTGCTGTGAATCCGACGAAAAGGTTGGGATTGTTGCGCTGAATTTTTTGCTGC